TATTTAATTATTTATTAAAGGACGCTGATAAAACAGAATTATTAAATTTACTATTATGGATGGTGATCGACAAAAATTGCAAAAATAGAGACAATGGTATTATTAATTTAAAAATTATAATGTAAAAAATAATTTTATGAATTATAATCATAAGTTTTAGATATTTTGGATAAATTGGGACTTAATAAAAGTGTGCATCAGTTATGGCAAAATATAAACACAGTTGCCAAATTGCTCTCTGTTATTGATGAAAAAATTCAATCAAAAACATGCGATACGATATTGATTAAAGTTTGGAATATATTGTTTAATTCTACAGGTTCAATTCTACTTGCAGTGTCTTATATATCATGGTATAACTATTATTTATTTTTTACATAGATGAAAATTATTATTTATGCAAAGAGTTTATAAAATATAACGGAATGACGCGTTTTGTAAAGTGTATTGATTTGTTTCCAAACGATAAAGGTGAAATTTGTTTAAATGCTAAAATATACTTCCATTATTTGAAACGTGATCGGAGTAAATTTTATGTATTTCATTTGAATTCATTGTATCTCATTTAAATTATTTATTTATTTTCTAGGTTTATTATTTAATATTTTTCGAACTTTAGTAAACATATGCGAATGTGATCAAGTTAAAAAACAACTTCTTGCTAAAGATTACATTCAACGAATGGTAAAGGTTTTAAATCAACAAACCTATGGACATAGTATAAGTGGATTGGTAGCAGATATACTAACATGTCTAGGTATAGACATTATACCATAGAGTGTATTATATTTTTATACGCTTTTCTGGAGGAATAAAAAGCGTATACTAGAATCACTTTGTACCCCCTCCCCCGCTCCATCATTAATGACGCTGATGAAGGTCAAATTGCATTTTCCATAGACTTAACATGGGATTTTTTGACAGTTTAGCCCTTAAAGACTTGAGCACTGCCTATGTAAAATCCCAGCAAAAGTGGGCAAAAGTATTTCCGGTGACAATGACTCTGTGCTTTCCGGCCCATGCTAAACCTATGGGAAAATGGTGTATAATGATGGTGCATGACGTGTGTGCCAAAAAATGTCGGTTGCGGAACCAAAAATCCCATAGCGTTAAGCGACAAATGGAGATTGAAGGACATGTGGTCAAAAAACTACGACCAAAGTGCATAAAAAACCCATGTTAAGTCTATAGGATTTTGAAACATGGTGTAATAGTGCATATTATGTGCACTTTACTAATATTAATTTAACAATATCTTGCCATGTCAAGTGTATTCCCAAAATATTCATAAAATATTCCCAAAACCACATGTTAAGCCAATGGAAAAATTACTAACAATATGTTTAAACCCCCATGCTAATCCTATGGAAAATTAGCTTACAATGTGCTCAATATCCCATGTTAAATTTATGGGTAAATTGAACAAAATATGTCTAATATCCCATGTTAAGTCTATAGGAAAATTGCTCTAAATATGCTTAAAACCCCATGCTAATCCTATGGGGAAATTAATTAAAATTAGCTTAAAACCCCATGCTAATCCTATGGGGAAATTAATTAAAATTAGCTTAAAACCCCATGCTAATCTTATGGAAAATTAGCTTACAATGTGCTCAATATCCCATGTTAAATTTATGGGTAAATTGAACAAAATATGTCTAATATCCCATGTTAAGTCTATAGGAAAATTGCTCTAAATTAGCTTAAAACCCCATGCTAATCCTATGGGAAATTAATTAATATTAGCTTAAACCCCATGTAATCGTATGGGACATTGGTACAAATAGCCCCAATATCCCATGTTGATACAATGGAAAAATTGACTACGATGGCCTCAAAATCCAATGCTAATCCTATGGGGAAATTTACTCAAATGGTTATAAATCTCATGCTAAACCTATGGGACTTTTTCTCAAATGTCCCAAATATCCCATGTTAATCTAATTAGACAATTGGTTTAAATGACTCAATATCCCATGTTAATCTAATGCGTAGGTTAGGTAAGGTTAGGTAAAATTTGATTGGATAGCTCAGGGAGATAAATTTTAATTTATCTTCCTGTGCGTAGTAGGTAATTCAATAGCATACCTCTAACAATACCTAGGTAACATAGGTATTGTTAAGGGGTAATACAGACCATTTATTTCTATTTATCGACTTGCGTCACAATCAAATCCCTTAACAATAATATGAAACCCAATTATTGAACTGATAGACAACAATGGGTTGACAATTTCAAATACTTTTAAAAATCGTTACATTGTAAAATTTTTAACAATCCATATAGAAACTTTATAATTTTAGGCAACAATGGCCTAAAATTTTAAAATATATTCTAAAACTTTAAGAAAGTTAGCAAAATGGAAGAGAAAGGTATTAAGAAATAAAATGCACTATTAACGCATATATTAACATATAATCTGTGACCATTAAAGAAATGTTAATTATTTATTAAATTTATTTAATAAATTAATTAATATTGAGAAATTTAATCCAAATATATTGAACAAATAAATTAACTTTTATTTTATCAATTGACATTAACTAGAAAAGCGTATGTCTCGATTAACTTCAGTTATCCGCCTTGTTTCCAATAGATTTATTAATATTGTATATTTATTTATTTTATTTGTAATAGCTGCAATTGACACACAATGGCCTAAAGATTTTCCAAGTGAATGTAAACGTAATTCTGTTCTTGGCAAAATAAAAACGGAAATATCGACTTGGAGAATTAATTCCGAATTACCTTTCCAATGGAGGTAATTTTCAATTAAACTAGCATATATTATTTTAGCAACATGTACATTATAATTTAGACTTTGTTAAATTGTAGTTCCTTGGCACCTGTAATAAAATTATTAAAGCCTAATATACCATCAGATTGTTATATATTGCCGGCATGGAGATTGGCTAATTGTACCAGGGTTAAAGGTATGGAAAAATTATGTTGTTTAAAGGTCTTGTTTTGTAGTAACTAAGTTTCTATAATGTAATTCTTATGAACTTGTTACATTTAGGTTCACAATACTGTCCTATGTTGGAAAGGGAGGGTGGGCTACAAGTATTGGAAGATTTAATTAAGAGGTCAGATGTGACGCGAGATATTAAAATGTTAGCAGCTTTAACATTATATCAGTGCGAGTTGGCTAAAACTGACCTTGCTGCCAGTGATAACCTTAAATCAAGCGAGAGTTATCAGGTACCAGTTGAATTTTTGCGAAGCAAACAAATAATAATTTAACTTATTTTATATAGTTTGCAAAATTAATTCATATTTATATTGTTTATTTAAACATACTTATACAAATGTTGCTTGATTTAGAATAAAATTATAAATTATTAATTTCTATAAGCAAATAAAAAATAAATAACATGTATGTTTAAAATTTGTAATATTATTAAAAACAACATTTAAATAACAAATTATTTCAGATGAAATATAAATATCATAAACAAATAATTAAGAAATATAACTTTTATATCAATATTATTTATCTATGAGATTGCAATACTTACAAGTTATAATAAAATGAAATACTTTTAATATTATTCATACATTGCTAACTGTGAATTTAATGTTAAATAACATATATTTAAAATAAATTTCAATATTACGAAATATTATAATTTTAAAAATAGATTGTTATTTTAATTTAAAAATATTAATTAATTTCTTAATTAATTTCTATAATATATTAATCACTTATTAGAGTTAGTAATGCAAAATAAAATCACGTATTTTATAACAAAATAAGTTATTTATTTGCAAATATATAAATAAAAAACCTTGGTTGATAACGTGATGTTTTTGTATAATACAGCGGACAGTATACTTTGTATATTAAATGTATATACAATCTATGTAATATTAATAAATAAAAATTTAAAGTAAAACTTAAACTAATAAATCTTATATTAATTTTTGATGCAAATGGGATGCATAGGAATGTATGTTAGTGACAGCGAAGGACTTCCAGTGGCGCCTACATTGTAATCCATTACATAAATACCTAGATACACTTCTCAACTATCTTTGCATACCTGTCCGCTTTTACATTTGTACACCAAACACCCCCTCGGAAACCCGCACCACTCCATACGCTTAATGTTAAAAACTCAGCATTATACATTATATTGTAGTAAAATATAAAACTTAGTATTTTATAAAATTTATTGTTATAATATGTTATTAAACTCATGTATAAAATATATATTAAACTGTTAATCTTTGTATAATTAATTAGAAATTATATTTACTATAACATTAGAGTATATAACATGCCCGGGTATAAGATGTCCAGGTTTCCCAATTTATCGACCAAAGAAAAGTCTGAATATACGTGCAGTTTATGTGAGAACATACTCAACTGCCCGATGATTACCCCGTGTTGTCTGAAAACATTTTGCGAGGACTGCATCACTAATTGGCTACAAAACAACACTACCTGTCCTTATGATAGGAAAAGGCTGACTATTGATAATCTATGTAAAGAATCAAGCTAAATTTATAATTATATTGTATATCATTGTTATTTTCAATATCTATATCATTACTAGTTAAGAACTTACTATTTAAAATATATATATATATTGAAAAGTGTTACTCATAGTTCAATCAGTGTAGCAAAAATAAAATGCTGGATTTTGTATATTTTAAAAATATTTAATTATTATTTCATAATTGTTAAATAATTTGTCGAGCGTATATATTAGTATAATGATTTATAATGAAATTATTAGCGCGTTAATAAGTAATCTTATTCCATTAATTCATAAATTAACATTAGGAAAATTTAACTAATTTAAATATAATATAAAAATTATGCAAATTGTTATTTTTAAAATTTTTATTTTTCATTAGTGTCCTAGTGAATTTTTAGGAAATTTAAACACTAATTGCGAGTTTTGGGATAATGGCTGTCGGGAAGTGATAAAATTAGAGGACCTCATTCAACCCAACGCCATCTGTGAGCACAATGAGGCAAACCGTCCGAAAACGTGTGACGTATGCTATTGTGACAAAACACGTGATCACGACTGCGTTAAAGCACTACTCGTAGCCAAGTGTAGCGCGAATTTCGAAATAGATTTTTTACGAAAAACGGTAACAGATATGGAAAGTGAGAAAGATTAGTTTTTGAAAACCATCCAGCAAATTTCAAACGATACTGGTGATAAAATGTTGGGACAAATAAAACAATTACGTATTAATAATGAAAAACTTAGAGTTTTAATAATGTCTGGATTATTGTATGATGTAAAAACTAAATCATTTATTTTTATAAAATTTTTAAATAATTTAATTATTTTATTTTTTAAGGACGATGCCAAAATGAAGTTATTAAAATTATTATTAAACAAGGTGATTGACGGGAATTGCAAAAATAAAGACGATGGTATCATTAATTTTATCAATATAATTTTATAAATAATTTATATGATTTATAATTACAAGTTTTAGATATTTTGAATGAACTGGCACATATTAAATATATAAGGCAAATATCGCGAGATTTTAATGCAGTTGTCAAATTGTTCTCGGTTATTGATGAAACAATTCGTAGTAATACATGCGATACGGTATTGCTTAAAGTTTGGAAAGTATTGTTTAGTTTAACAGGTATAATAATTACATTGTCCAATTATAATTCACCATTGTCATTTAATTTGTACACAGATGAAAATTCTGGCAACTCATGCGAGCAGTTTATGACAAATAATGGAATGGCACATTTTGTTAAGTGTATTGATTTATTTCCAAATGATCATGGTAAAGCTGTTACAATATAATATATACAGTATTTCCATTACTTTTAATTTGAACAAAGTAATTTAATGTATTACATTGGTGCAAAAGTTCTCGCCTGTTATAACATTGTGTTCTATGACAATTTAGGCGAGAACTTTTGCACCAATGTAATATCTATTTGTGTAGATTTATTATTTATTATATTTGGTACTATATCAAATGTTTCTGAATGTGACCTGGTTAATGGGAAGCTCATTGCTAAAGATTACATTCAACGAATGGTAAAACATTTAAATCAGCAAGTTTACGGTTATACCATATGTGGGTTCGTAGTGGATATACTAACAAATATAGGCAATGAATATGGTTTGCTAAGTTTTGTAGTATTATATATTCATTAATATTGTTTATTTGTACTAGGTGCAATTGATACCACTCAATGGCCTGAAGATTTGTCTGATGAATGCAAACGTGATTTTGTTCTTGGAAAAATAAAAACAGAAATATCTGCTTGGAAAATTAATTTCGATTTACCTTTCCAATTTAAGTAATATTCAATGAACTGATTGCATGCTAATTCAACTATATAAACCGTATATATTATTTTTATTATAGAAAAATAAAAACAGAAATATCTGCTTGGAAAATTAATTTCGATTTACCTTTCCAATTTAAGTAATATTCAATGAACTGATTGCATGCTAATTCAACTATATAAACCGTATATATTATTTTTATTATAGTTCCCTGGTACCTGTAATAAACTTATTAAAACCTAATATTCCAGCAGATTGCTATATATTGCCAGTTTGGAGATTGGCTAACTGTACCAGGGTTGAAAGTATGTTGATAATTATCTTGTTTGAAATTAAGTTTGTGAAGCATTTTCCTTTTTGAACTTGTTACATTTAGGTTCAAAATACTGTCCTATGTTGGAAAGGGAGAGTGGGTTACAAGTATTGGTGGATTTAATTAAGAGGTCAGATGTGACGCCAGATATCAAAATGTTAGCAGCCTTAACAATATACCAGTGCGAGTTAGCTACAACTGACCATGCTGCAAGTGATAAGCTTAAATCAAACGAGAGTACACGGGTACCGGTTCAATTTTTACGACGCAAACAAATGAATATTTAAGTAATGTTTGTATAACTTGCCAAATTACTAATATTTGTATTGTTTATTCAAAAATACTTATAAAAATGTAGTATGATGTAGATTAAACTTATAAATTACTAATTTCTATTAAACAATAAGTTGATTTAATAAATTAATTTTTAAATAAACACAAATAAATAGTATTAATATTATCATAAAACAACATTTAGATAACAATTTATTTCAGATGCAATGGAAATATTTAAAAAATAATAAAGTACTACGACACTAAATGACTTTTGTACCAATATTATTTTATCAATGAGATTAAAATGCGTATCTAATACTAATAAAGTGAAATACTTTTATTAATGTTCACACATTGAAAAATACGCATTAAATGTTAAATAACACATATCTATTATATTATTAAATATTATAAACTGATTATTAAATTGTTATTTAATCTAAAAATTATTAATAGTTATATTGTAATGCCTCAGTAATAATCAATTTAATCTCTGATATTTAAAGGTAAGTACAGTAGACTTAACAAAATTATTTTATTATATCATAAATTATTTAAATATAATTATAAAGAGCTTAGGTTGAAAACATGCCTGGATACGATATGTCCAGGTTCCCAAATTTGTCCGAGATGGAAAAGTCTGAATATACGTGCAGTATATGTCACGACATATTTTGCTGTCCAATGACTACCCCGTGTTGTCTGCAGACATTGTGTGAGGACTGTATCACCGGTTGGTTACAAAACAACACTACCTGTCCTTATGATAGGAAGAGCTTATCTCTGGATAAATTAACGCGAGCACCTAGGTAATGTAGATATTTTATTATGTGTCATTCACAAATTTATTTAAAATAACACATCATTTAGAACTATAATAATAATTTTCCTATAATCACCAGAGTACTAGCGAATATGTTAGGAAACCTAAGCATTAAATGTGATTTTTGGGATAAGGGATGTCGAAAAGTGGTCAACCTCGATGACCTCATACAACACACCGCCATCTGTGAGCACAATGAGGCAAACCGTCCCAAAACGTGTGACGTATGCTATTGTGACAAAACACGTGATCACGACTGCGTCGACGCACTACTTGAAGCCAAGTGTAGCGCGAATGACGAAATAGATTTGTTAAAGCGAACGGTGAAAGAGTTGAAAAGTGAGAAAGATCAGTTTTTGAAAACCATCCAGGACATGTCCAGTGGTCAGGGTAATAAGAATATAATGGATGAAAATAAACATTTAAAAACTGACAATGATACACTCCGTACTCATCTTGATAACATATTAGCCCGTTGCCAATTATTAAAGCAAAATGGATTATTTAATAATGTAAGTTTTTATATTATAATTTTAATATAAATAAATGAGTCTATTAATGAATGCTGTCATCTAATACATTTATTGACTATACCTACGATGAGCATACATTGTAATCCGGGCCATATTAACAGTGACAAAACTCTAAACAGTATAGGGATTAATGTTAAAATGTTCAAAATGTTATCAATCATAGTGTGGCCCGGATTGGCATAAGTGCTCATCGGATGACCATATATTTGACATCAACACCGCAGGCAATATCCAACCAGGGTCAGATCCTAATGCTCGACCCCATGTCGGAGTTGCACTTTAGAGGTCCGTTTACTGTAGTGGTCACGTCGTACCTAAAGCTGAGGAATCCGTGCGAACGGCGCGTGTGTTTCAAATTGAAGACTACGGCCCCCAAGAGGTATTGCGTCCGACCAAACGTGGGACACATCGAGGCTTTCGGCACCGTAACCATCGCTGTTAGCCTACAACCCGTAGACATTGATAACTTGATCGGCAAAAATAAACACAAGTTTATGGTGCAGACGATGTTCGCGCCCGAGGGGGTCGTCAATCAGGAGACACTCTGGGAAGGCGTGAATCCGGAAGCAATTATGAGATCAAAGCTGAAGTGTGTGTTTGATGTGACGCCCCCTTCAAACGAGACACCTGTCCGGTAGTCATCAACACCTGCTGTCAATAATACAGTTGTCCAACTGATTAGTAGTCTTACCATCGATTTCAGATCGACACAACAAAAAAATAGTTTCAAATTTTGGTTTTTATTAAATTTATATTATATATTTTAATTAAGTCTGTAATTATTGTTGATTTTATTACCTAATATTCGTATTTCTATTGTTTATTCAACAATACTTATAAAAAACACCAAGCTTACATTAAAGTAAATTTATAAATTGCTAATTTCTATTAATAAATAAATTGTATGTTTAAAATTGTTATTATGACTATACAGTATAAACAACATGTACAGTATTTCAGATGCGATATAAATATTATTGAAATAATAAAGTAAATATGACACCAGATGACTTTTGTACAAATATTATTTATCTATGAGATTGTAATATTCTACTTTTTAATAAATAATATTGTGATATAGTTTTATTATAATTCATACATTGGTAAATACGCATTAAATATTATAATCTAAATACTAAATTGTTATTTAGACTAAAAATTATTAATAGTTTAATGTAGTGGCTCTATTATAATCAATTTAATCTCTGATATTTTAAAGTAAGTAGAGTAAACTTAAACAAATTATTTTATAATAACATATTTTATTTAAATATAATTATAGATTGGAAAAATGCCTGGATATGATGTGTCCAGGTTTCAAAATTTGTCCGAAATGGAAAAGTCTGAATACACGTGCAGTATATGTCAGGACATATTTTGCTGTCCAATGACTACCCCGTGTTGTCTGCAGACATTTTGTGAGGACTGTATCACCGGTTGGTTACAAAACAACACGACCTGTCCTTATGATAGGAAGGGCTTATGTCTGGATAAATTAACAGGATCACCAAGGTAATGTAGATATTTTATTATATGTCATTCCCAAAGTATGTACTTTTAAATAATCATAAATTTATTAAAATTATCATAACATCTTTTCTAAATATAATAAGAATTTATATTTAATATATTATAACCAGGGTTCTAGCGAACATGTTAGGAACCATGAACATTAAATGTGACTTTTGGGATAACGGGTGTCGAGAAGTGGTCAAACTCGAGGACCTCATACAACACACCGCCATCTGTGAGCACAATGAGGCAAACCGTCCCAAAACGTGTGACGTATGCTATTGTGACAAAACACGTGTTCACGACTGCGTAAAGGCACTACTCGTAGCCAAATGTAGCGCGAATATCGAAATGGATTTGTTAAAGCGAACGGTTAAAGAATTAAAAAGTGAGAAAGATCAGTTTTTGAAAACCATCCAGAATATGTCCAGTGGTCCGGGTAATAACATTATAACAGATGAAAATAATCAATTAAAAATCGAAATCGATACACTCCGTACGGACCTTGATAACCTATTAGCACGTTACCAATTATTAGAGCAAAGTGGATTATATAATGATGTATTATTGATGTTTTTATATTATAATTTTAATATAAATGAATGAGTTTATGAATGATTGATTATACAATTGTATCCAGTTGACATTAGCACCGCGGGCAATGTGCAACCATGATCATATCCTACTGCTCGACCCCAATTCGGAACTCCACTTCAGAAGTGCGTTCAGTTTTGCGATCACGTCGTACCTAAAGCTAAGGAATCCGTGGGAACGGCGCGCGTGTTTCAGAGTGATGACGACCGTCCCCAAGAGGTATTGGGTGCGACCCAACCACGGACTCATCGAGTCTTTCGGCACCGTAACCATCGCTGTTAGGCTCCGACCCGTAGACATAGACAACGCGAGCGACAAAAATAGTCACGAGTTTATGGTGCAGACGATGTTCGCGCCCGAGGGGGCCGTCAATCAGGAGACCCTATGGAAAGTCGTGAATCCGGAAGCAATAATAACTTCAAAGCTGAAGTGTGTTTTTGATGTGACGCCCCCTTCAAACGAGACACCTGTCCGGTAGAGGTCGGTAGTCACCCCAACACCTCCCGTTAATAATACGGTGTCCAGTTTAGTGGTAATTTTAACATCGATTTCTACATATACTTATACAAATTTTGCTTGATTTAGAATAAAATTATAAGTTATTAATTTCTATTATATTAAGCAAGTCAAAAATAAATAACTTGTATGTTTAAAATTTTTTAATATTATTAAAAACAACATTTAAATAACAAATTATTTCATATGTAAAATAAATATTATAAAAATAATAAAGTAATATGACTTTTGTACCAATATTATTTACCTATGAGATTGTAATACTTACAAGTAATAATAAAGTAAAATACTTTTAATATTATTCATAGTGTATTTATAAATTTGATTTAAATGTTAAATAACACACATTTAAAATAAATTTCAAAATTATTAAATATTATAATTTTAAAATTAGATTGTTATTTTAATTTAAAAATATTAATTATTACGGTGTTTCTATAGTATATTAATCAATTAAATCGTGCGAGTATAAATTTAGAATTAATAATGCAAGCTAAAATCATTAATTTTATAACAAAATAAGTTATGTATTTGCAAATATAATAATAAAAAGCCTAGGTTGAAAATGTGCTCATTTACGAGCTTGTAATTTGTTTTTAGTATTGTACTATCAAGATGACCTAGTAAATTCTTTAAAATAAAACACATACACTTATAGTAAAATTTTATTTCAATTTTATTATTTATCTATTAAAAATACAAATACTTATTCAATCAATAATTAAAATTAACATTTAAACTAATTTATATCACTACAGTTTTTAAGTTCATACGATATGAATCATACCCATTGAATGGCCCTAGCTTAAATTTAATTTAAGTATACCATAATTGAAATTTATTTTATAATTGCTAATTTTTTTTGTATAGTACAGCTGACAGTATACTTTGTATATTAAACTTATATACAATCTACGTAATATTAATAAATAAAACTTTAAAGTAAATCTTAAACTAATAAATCTTATATTAATTTTTGATGCAAATGGGATGCATAGGAATGTATGTCAGTGACAGCGAAGGATTTCCAGTGGCGCCTACATTGCAATCCATTACATAAATATCTACACTTCTAGAGACACTTCTCTACTATCATTGCATACCTGTCCGCTCTTACATCACTCCATACGCTTAATGTTAAAAAATTGTATCACTTTTTAGTCTACAATTTGATGTCAAACTAATCACTTGTTTTTGTGCACTATTTTCAAACTCTTAATAAAACTCTTTTTCGCTTTATTTTAAGTGTTTGTTTCCACTCAACACACGTGACCTTAACAGCAACCGCTCATAATCTTTGAATATTACAACCTCACGGTATTTCTGGTGCTTACCCGTTGAACACACACACACACACACACACAAGTAAGCTTATTACCGTTACTAAGTGAAATAGTTTAAGCGTTTACTTAATAACTAAGCATTATACATTCATTATATCGTAGTAAAATACAAAATCTAGTACTTATAAAATTTATTGTTATAATATGCTATTAATCTCATGGATAAAATATATGCTAAACTGTTAATCATTGTATAATTAATTTAAAATTATATTTACTATAACATTAGAGTATATAACATGCCCGGGTACAAGGTGTCCAGGTTTCCAAATTTATCGGCCAAAGAAAAGCCAGAATATACGTGCAGTTTATGTGAGGACATACTCAACTGCCCGATGACTACCCCGTGTTGTCTGAAAACATTTTGCGAGGACTGTATCACTAAATGGTTACAAAACAACACTACCTGTCCTTATGATAGGAAAACGCTGACTGTTGATAAACTATATCCAGCATCGAGGTATATTTGTTATTGTATTGTATATTATTATTATTTCATAATTGTTATATAATTTAATTGTAAATGAAATAAAATTAATTAGTCGAGCGTTAATATTAATATAATAAGTTATAATGATATTTTTATTATCCCGTTAATAAGTAATCTTATAAGTAATTAATTGGCAGGTTAACATTAAAAATTAACTAATTAAAAATACTATATGTAAATTATTTAAAATGTTAATCATTTATTTTTTACTTTACGCTAGTGTACTAGTGTATAATTTAGGAAATTTAAAAATTAATTGCGAGTTTTGGGATAATGGCTGTCGGGAAGTGATAAAGTTAGAGGACCTCATACAACACACCGCCATCTGTGAGCACAATGAGGCAAAACGTCCGAAAACGTGTGACGTATGCTATTGTGACAAAACACGTGATCACGACTGCGTAAAAGCACTACTCGTAGCCAAATGTAGCGCGAATATCGAAATAGATTTCTTACGAAAAACGGTGACAGATATGGAAAGTGAGAAAGATCAGTTTTTGAAAACCATCCAGGCAATTTCAAACGATAATGGTGATGAAATGTTGGCGCAAATAAAACAATTACGTATTAATAATGAAAAACTAAGAGTTTTAATAATGTCTGGATTAATATATGATGTAATAACTAAATCACTTATTTATTCAAGCTCTTTAAATTTAATTTATTATTTATTTTTTAAGGACGATGCTAAAATGAAATTATTAAACTTATTATTAAACATGGTGATCGACGAGAATTGCAAAAATAAAGACGATGGTATCATTAATTTTATCAATATAATTTTATAAATAATTTATATGATTTATAATCAAAAGTTTTAGATATTTTGAATGAGCTGGCACATAATAAATATATAAGGCAAAAATCGCGAGATTTTAATTCAATTATCAAATTGCTCTCGGTTATTGATGAAACAATTCTCATTAATACGTGCAATACGGTATTGGTTAAAATTTGGAAAATATTGTTTAGTTTAACAGGTATAATAATTATATTGTCCTATATATAAATATATAATTCTTTAATTAACATTTAATTTGTACAAGATGAAAATTCTAGCAACTCATGCGAACAGTTTATGGATAAAAAATATTGTTTAGTTTAACAGGTATAATAATTATATTGTCCTATATATAAATATATAATTCTTTAATTAACATTTAATTTGTACAAGATGAAAATTCTAGCAACTCATGCGAACACAAATACCTATTATCACCTTACCACGCAAAATAATTTACATAACTAAACAAAGGTCTGCTATTTCCATTTTAAATGGATCGAACATCTTTTATTATATACGTCATTAAAATAATGAACTTTAAACTTCGGCGTAAATTTTATGTATTGTATCTATTTGTGTAGATTTATTATTTATTATATTTGGTACTATATCAAATGTTTCTGAATGTGACCTGGTTAATGGGAGACTCATTGCTAAAGATTATATTCAACGAATGGTAAAACATTTAAATCAGCAAGCTTACGGTTATACCATATGTGGGTTTGTAGCGGATATACTAACAAATATAGGTAATGTATATTGTTTACTAAATTTTGTAGTATATTCATTAATATTGTTTATATATAATAGCTGCCATTGATACTACTCAATGGCCTGAAGATTTGCCTGGTGAATGCAAGCGTGATTTTGTTCTTGGCAAAATAAAAACAGAAATATCTGCTTGGAAAATTAATTTCGATTTACCTTTCCAATTTAAGTAATATTCAATGAACTGATTGCATGCTAATTCAACTATATAAACCGTATATATTATTTTTATTATAG